CCCTTTTCGATATGAACTTCATTTGCATTTGTGGTGCCACTAGAACTTGTTTATAATTACTATAAAACAGTTTCATGCGGATAAAATGAATTAAAGAAAAGCTTATGAGCTTTCACTAGACTTAAGTACAAGTATATATACTATATATACTTACTTAACTCACTGAAGTCTAGTCAAAGCTGGGGGTGTCTTCTCCATGCTCTGCTCTCTACACAAGAATTCGCTGTGAGGGTTGCCTTTGGTTTTAAAGTAGTTAAGTTGGAATGAAAATATGTGTGTGTGTGTTTTTTATTCCGCAACATATTCTACTTGGAACTCTGCATGCTTCAGCATGCACTTGATGCAATTCTCCAAGCACTTTTGCCACTCAAAAGTGGATAGCTCCAAAAGGAGCTGTTTAAAGGCTTTAAAGGCTGCTTGAGAGATTTAAAAAGCTTTGAGCTGGCCTAGGTGAAGGGTAAGGTTGATTCAGAGATACTAAAAGTTCTATAATCTACTCAAATTTATAAATGACTTATTAAAATTTACTAGGTGTGAATGCTTTACTCAAAGAGGAGAGTAGCTTATTTTGAAGTGAGATATCTTTCTGTAAATGAAATACTATAAAGGTACTCTACAGATGTATATGTATGTTATTATATAGAAGGGTGTGCATATTGGGGTAAGAGAAATGGGAAATGATCTACGTTAATCAGTCTAGCTTACACTCAGCATTTATTGGGAATATGAAAGAGAATAATTAATATATATGACATATATTTTTAAAGAATATGCTATGTAAATGTTTAAATTATAATTTATATGGCAGATCTATATACACAAACTGCTACTATAATATATAATTTCCCAATTAATAGTAGTCTGAATTATGAATATATATAATTTCCACTTAAAATCCAACATTTTTACTTTCTACACCTACTTTTACTTATTTTGTAAATAATTAATAGAAACAAGTCGACAATTGTGTTTAGCAACTGGAGCATTGTCAAAGCTCAATTATTTCATAGGACTCGGCCCTTGGCAAACGAATGAATTGAATAGGTATTGCAGCCTTTGGCATTTGCTAATTGCTTGACACATTTACTCTATGTAAAGCAAATCCAATTTTGGCTCAGCTCAGAGCAGCTCAGTTTTCTTTAAAAGGCAATGGATTTCGCTGCTCTTAGTCTTTGGCATATCTTTTTGGGTGGCGATAAGTCGTCACGTTGCTTGAAGTTGTGGCTGAAACAGTTTTGGGGCCGGGTTGCCAGAGGCAACGAGTGCAGGCAGCCAAATTGTTTACCGCAGCTGTTGATAAGTTTTTAATTAAGTTTAAGCGTATTAGCTGGCACTTTAGCCGGCTGTGCTGCGCGCAAATCTATAAAAGCCACAAGAACTCGGCATTGCTTCAGCCCCATAGAGCGAGCGGGAAAATTAAGTGTTTGGTCTGAAGTCGCTACGGCTTTTGAATAAGGAGAATAAAAAAACGTCGAAAAACGAAGTAAAAAATAATTGAAATACGCAGACAGTCGCTGGGTGCGTGGCCAAAGTCGCGACACGTGCCGTTGCCGATGCCACAGACACTTGGCCCGCATTAAGCATACGCCGCGTGTTACCCGAACGCGTTGCCTATTAACGCGCAATGAAAGACCCCCATGCCCACTGCCCCCAAGGAAAGGGAAAAAACAATTGCTTGTGTCTGCTGGCAAATGCCAATGCGGTGCGAATGTCTGACGACAAGAAATTGAAATTATTTTCAATGACAGCAGTTTAGAAGACATGCCAATGGGCTCAACGGGATGCTATGAGAAATGGAAATGCTCGAAATGTGTATTTATTAGTGAGGCAGTTGCTTTGTCTAGCTGAGTGATGGAAGGTACAATTCTGCATGATTTGCCGATGGCTCGACCCTACATCAACTCCCACTCACCCACTCACTCTCTCAGCCACTCTTCTCACCCACTCTTTGGCTCTAGTGTAGAGCAAGTGGAATTTTTAAGACAAGACACGAGATGCGGACGTCTAGTTCAACTGCTGGCTTGCTCTTGATTGTCAAAGCATTTTGTGATAAGGATATAAGGACAACACGAGCACACAAGGACAACAGCAGAAGCTTAGACATTCGCCCACGCACAGTTCCGTAGTACAATGAACACATGTGTATGTGTGTGTGTGTTTATGTGTGATTCTTTGTTTCATAACTGACAAATGAAAATGTCAAAAATGTGTGCAAACTGCTGCCAAATGAGAAATGTCTTGTATTTGTGCGAGCATAAATTAAATTAGAGTTTCGTTCAGCATAAACTCACACGAAATGTCCTTTCTGCACAACAATCCCGACAACAAGCAACGGCAATATTTTTGTCTATTTTCAAATTGATATTTTCTTTCATTTTCATTCTGTCTTTTTCGTTTTCATTCCGTTTCACAAGCAATTTTCAAATCGAAATTCATGCATATTTAAAGAGCGGCCCCATTTAGGTTCGTTTGTGAAAAGTAATTTAAAATCAACTATGAGAATGCTCAATATGGATATATTCTGATATATATATGTATATGTATATTTACATCTGTATGTGTATATCGCTCTTAATTTATACATTTATATTTCATGCGCAAATTGTTTCTAGTCCAAAAATGTTTTTAATCGCATTTTGTCAAACGGTTGAGTAAAGCTCTTTTGCGAGAATTGCAAATGTGGAATGAATAAAAAATAAAATAAAAAATATATATGATGTACATGTAAGCGATTAAATGAAAAACAATAATAATCAAAACAATATCCATTTAAATCTAGTGAATTATTGACAAGCATTAGGCAATATAATTTTACAGCAATCTGTTTTGGCGTAACTGATTGACGTGATTTGGCCGCCTACGATTGTTTGCCAAGTGGTTGCTGCGCAGCGCTGATATGCAATAATAACTCATTAATTAAACAGTTCATGGATTTTTCAAGCCCGTTCGGCTTCACCTTGAATCTGGGCAACAATTACAAGCTAAGCGCCAAGCATTTTGGCTAAAAGCCAGCCCGGGCCAGGGCAGCTGCGGCGCGTAGACAACGACGGGGCCCAGATTAATGCCTGGTTATTAATAATGCTGGAAGAGGCTCAGTTCAGGTGAAAGTCGTTGCCAAGGCGAAAGCAAATCAAGTCAATTTGTTAGCCCAGGAAATGATGGCATAGCCAAGTATCCATTACGCATTTGCATTGGCGCCAGCCCACATTCACTCCTGGCAGCCTCTCTGTCAGTCAGTCAGTCCGTCCCGTCCGTCTGTCTGTCTGTCTGCTAGTCAGTTAGCCAGTTCCGCTTGTTGTGGGCGGCTAATGAAGCGCGTGGCTTGCTGAAATTCTTTGCCTCCGCCGGATCGAATAACACAATTGCTGTTTGCCTTGTTTTTCGAACAATTTCCTTTGAGGGTGTCTGACTGGCTGTCTCTCTCTCTTTCTCTCTCTCTCACTCCTTCTCTATCTCTCACTCTCGTTCTCTCTTCCTGTCTACTTGCAGTGTAATTTATATGTTATTTACCTAAATTGGCTACACTGCAATATGTTGCATGATTTATAGCTGTCATCTTCATTCGATTGTCTGGGCATTTGCTTATTTACATTTTGGTTTACTTTGCCTTTGCCTTTGCCTTTGTCTTTTGCCACTTTAATGTCCTTTGATTAATTTGCGCAAATATAAATGTCAGCTGGCTGGCATTGGCAAAGGTAATTTAATGGCCAGCCTACAGCTGTGCCCTTGTCAAATCATATCAGGGCCAATAATGAGCAAGCAATCAGCACAATGAGATATAATAATGTGCCCCAAAGCCGCCACGCCCCGCTCGCTCGCCTCTGGCTGAGCTATGTGAAGGTATTTCGCTGGATCGCAGCATTAACAAAACATGAAATGCAATTAAAGGCAACAAATTGAATGGAATTGGTTTTTACAGCTGGATGATTTCCAGTTCATATTTTCGTTTGCGTTTTCGTTTTCGTTTTGGATTTCATTTTCATTTTCATTTGCGCTCATTTGCATATTTGCTATATGGGATATGGAATATAATTTTATCCGGCTCATGTTTTTGCATTTTCACTTTCAAGTTGAAAGCGATACGCCGGATTCATTATGGACAAGCACACGCTCAAACTCCGCATCGGGGGCGAGAAATGAAAGTACATTAATAATCAAGTGCCGCTCGATGAAATATTTGCCAACTGTCAGCGAAAAGTTATTAAAAATAAATCACCTGAAATAAAGTACGCAAATAAACAAGCTCACATATACATGTGTGTGTGTGTGTGTGTGTGCTTATTGACATGCGAATGAAAAAATGTAATTAATGCAATAACAGCGCCAAATAATGGCAGCAATAAACAAAATAATATTGAAGCATGTATCAAATATTCAATCACACATTACGAACTTATCATTTATAATGCAAGTGCTTCAAAAGAGGCAACAAATACGACGCTGAAAAGTCGTAATTGCAACTTGTTACTGCACTTTGCTATTAAATCTTGCAAATATTGTGCGCAATAAAATATAATTTTAATAATTTTATTTGCAAATGACATCGCGTGAAATGTCAAATTTTAATTAACTTCGCATATGATAAATTATAGAAGGAAAAAAAATTAAACAGATTGATTCTACTACCAAAGTCAGAGGCTTGACTTTTAGTATTTTTTCGGTATTTTTGGGTATATTTCGGTGTCTTGTGCATTCGTCCGAAA